TTTAAAAGCACCATCATGTAGTGCCTAAAAAGTATCAATGGAAAAGATTTCATTAGCTTTTTCATATTTTTTAAAATAAAGTCAGAAGAAAATAAAAATGGCTTGGTCATATTTCAGTTTTTCCCAAATACCTCAGTGAGCAATGACATTTTTAGAAATTTCTCAGTGACATGTAAATACGTGCCAAAGTACTCAACTTTTTTCTAATTTAATCTAAACTGTATCTTCCACAGGTATTGAAATCCCCATGCATAACATAGGATCCTTTCTTGGAGACGCTGTATACTCTATTCTGGCGCCCAATACGGGTTATGAAATATACTAGCTCCATCTAGCGTAAATTAAAAATAAATTTAGATTTACTTTTAAATTACAGCTTTTGATTCTGCTACTGTCTCATAGATGGCGCAAGGACCTGTAATGCGTTTTTGGTCTTTTTGGTCTTTGGTCTATCTACAAACAGTGATTAGTAATTCCACCTGAAGAAGCAAAGCATATAGAATTCAAAAAAGGAATTGATCCTAGCGCCATCTATGAGACGGTAGCAGAATCAAAAGCCGTTGTTTAAAAGTAAATATTCAAATTTATTATTAATTTACGCTAGATGGCGCTAGTATCTTTCAGATTCCGTATTGGGCGCCAGAATAGAGTATACAGCGTGTCCAAGATAAGGATCCTATGCATGGGGACCTCAATACCTGTGGGAGATACAGAAAACAGAAAAATCAAATGCTTCACTTTTGTGTTCTGCTGTTGTATGTACGGAATCAGTGTATGGTTAAACTATCTTTAGGTAGAATACATTAATCAATAGTTAATGTAAGCTCTATCTAGAGGGTGAGTGTTTACTGTATAATTGGTCGATCACTCCGTTGTTATACCCGAAACATTCTAGACAAATTAATATACAAGGAAGCGAGATGTTGGATATATAGGTATAGCATACTATAGATTCTGGATCGCAACTTCTGAGGCTACGGGATATTTTGTAGCAAAATAACAACCAAGATCGATAGCGTGTCAGCTACTATTGTCAAGTTTCCTGCCACCAATATTATATGCATACGCGTACATCATTACCTCTCCTAGCAGCATTAAATACCAATCTGTTTTCACGGCACCAGTTGTCAATCCTCACAATGTTGCATTGTAAGCCATAACAATATTCAGTTCTCAGAATCTACAGATAAGTTTCATGTCGTCAGCATATATAAGCAAAATAATGTTACAAGCTTCGGAAATATCATTTAAAAACACAAGTAATAGAGAGCCCAAATTAGATTCTTGTAGGACCCCAGACATAACAGGGTATTCGCTTGGCATAAGCATATAAATCCATTGCACATAACGTAATGTTTATAAGTCATAGGATATAGAAAACTTTTTTGTACTGTTTTTTCGTTCTATTAAACATTAAAGATCGGATTAAGAAAGCATCTTTAAGTTCCTTATAGCAGTTGTGATAGCCCGGTATTTAGGTTTCTGCCTATGTGGCTTCTAATTTTGGAGCTATTGGTGAATAATAAATACTGTAATAAATAATAATTCTGTTTTGTTAGCTTCTGTTAGAATAGCTAACAAATTTCTGTAACCGAGCCTAAAAAAGTGTCGTTTTATCTGATTCACGGTTGCTAAAACATTCCTATTGGTATGCAAAAGTAATTAAAAGTCGCATAGTATACTATCGGTAAGGCGAGGAAAGTAATAACGTTACATTTTAAAATTCACCTAAAGGTTCCGAACTTTAAACGAAGTTAACTTACGCTTCTGTAATATCCAGACTAGATTGGAATAAAAATGGGTGCTATTATTGTAGTCATTTGAATGCGCCTACCAGTGCCGTAGGCAAAACATTTTTCAGTGTGAAATCTGTAGCTTATCTTATAGTTTTTATGCTGATAATCGTCCTTTGTTGTTTGGCTGCTCCATGAAACAACATACGCGTGAAATAGTATTTAGTGACGACGCTTTGGTCACCACGGTAGCCGTTTTCAATTTTAGATACTTGAACCGTGGCGACCGAAACGTTAGTAAATAGTATTTCAAGCAAATTTATGTCGTTTAATTATGCGGTCAGACAAACATGTCGGATCAAAAACATTTCTTTATTTAAAATTGATTACCTAGTTGTATTTAGAAAACTTTAGCGCGGTAGCCTTATATACTGTTGTTGCCTAAACGTCAACTAGGTATATTCTGTCGGTAACATCTGCTAGAGAGATCGTACTAGTGGAGGTCATTCACAGCTTTTATGGCTTAAACTGAAAAAGGTGTGCCAAGTTGAAACCTCACATTAATTTGTACAGTTATGTCAAATAAGAATGTGGGATTCGAAGAAAAATATTAACATACAACTGGTCTTTTTTGACCGAAGGCTGAATGTGTGGCTGAAGACATAATTTTTGGCCGAATGTGTACTTCTTGGCTGAATGTGTACGAAGCTGAAGCTGATGCCGAAACTTCGGTCGGATAGCTGCGGTTTAAAATTTCTAAAACACAGTAGTCCTGTGACACAGTAATCTACCTTGACCAAGAAGCTCAACCATATTATTTGCTCGCTCACATGCAATTTTCATCATCATAGCCATGATGCCAAGGAAGGTCGCAGTAACTCTCTTAGAAGTAATTAAAACATAATCCATTTTCATTTAAAGAAAATTGTTAATTCTCAATCATGACATAAATCTTCAAGAGAAGACCACTCCTTATCCTCCCTCGCAATTATTGACAGACAAGGTAATTCCACAACCTTGGCAACTGTTCGAGAGGACACTCCGGTTTTCATGAAAGGTCAGGCTTAGTCAGGTAGCTATTTGTTTCGGCTTGTTGGAGTTCAGAATTGAATCAATTACTGGGAAGAAGCTCTGAAGTCTATACAATAGCCAGATAAGGGCTATTAGACTGTCCCGTGACACTTCCTTGTTAGACAGTCTCAGACCTCTTTCGCTTCGACAGTTGTTCAATTATTTGACTACCTTCTACTACCAAAGGACTTCAGAGCGATAGTGCCAAGTAGTTAGGCTTTGCCTTTACGCTTCAGTATAAAATATGTCGGTACGCCACTGACATGGCAGGAAAGATGACTTTTAAAATGTTGCGCCACCACGCTGGAATGAAGATCAAGAATCTGACTTGCAAAGTGTTTTTGGTTAATATCACAAAAGGGCAGAAGGCCGCGTGGTCGCCTCTCGTTTCATACCCAGCAAGTAGCTGTTCGTAGTGTCGTTAGGACCGAAACGCTTTCCACCGTCACTAAATCGTAATATAGAGAAATATTAAGCAACAAAGAGAATGAAAACATGCTGCCGCTACCAGCCATGTTGCCTACAAAATTGAAAGGCATTAGCATTAATAGAAGGGAAAAATTATTAAGCTTCTAGCAGAGGATAGAGGACCCAGTTGTGTTGAAGGTTATAACAGGTGAATATTGAGCATGCAAAGTATGTATGTGTCGATGTTTGTCTAGGACAGAATGCAGCCTGAATCAAATGGATGGGTGTTAGGTTATTCAACAAAACGCCAAATACCCTCAGGACACTGCCACTCACTATTATCAAACATGAAATTAAGGCACTACTAATAGGTAAAGCATATTACTCTTTGGATGAGTGTACTTGTCAAATACCCTGACAAACGACCAATAGGAGTAATTCTGACAATGCGGCTTATAATAGGCATGACTGTGGTATCCTATATGCAAATTTCAACAGTTACCGTGTTTTTTTAATTTTTCTTATATAATTTAAACTTAACAATATTTTAATCTGTATCTCTACCACGTTTGTTCAATGTTTGTTTTCAGTTAAATGTTCGCCTACTTTATATGTTAATGTTTGTTTATTTTTGACTGCCTTATACTAATCCGTGTTATCTACTTATTTATTTTCTGAATATGCTTGCTGTATTGTTTCCATTGACATGATCTCTGTCATCTTACGATGATCTGACAGAACTAATGGAGAAATGAAATGAAATCCGTCCGGCTTTAGCAGGACATGTTTAGATTTTGTTGGTCTTATCTGGACTAGATTTTTTGCATCCGGCCCGTCTGACTTTTGGTAGCCTTTTTGGTAGCGACGTCAGTGACCTGTACGTCAACTAGCCGAAACGAATGCTTCCTTGACAGAACACGCCCATCCATCGAAACCGGTTATACACTATGGCGCTTCTTGTTAGTAAGATACAGTACTGCATTTTGGAAGCATTAAACTGTGCCAGATTCTTGCATTCCCAAACAAAGATGACTTCCAAATCTCTTGTCAGCGAGGAAGTCGCAACTATTCTACTTCTCTAGAACTCATCGACAGAGGTCGACTTGGTGCCCTGAATGCCTGAAGTGTAGAGCGTTCTCATCAGCAAAGCTGTGGATCGGATTCATCGTAAACGAGATGAGGATGTTGATATGTAAGCGTTTTAGCCAAAATCGATCCCTGGGGAACACCCACGTTGATACTAGAAGAAAAGGCAAGAGTAGCCTTAAAACACCGCTGATATGTTGCAGGCGGAGAGGATGTCAGCCGCCAATCCGCAAAGCTTATCTACACCCACAGCTGATGTGGATCTTCTGTGATATTAAAAGCATCAACATGGGCCCATTGGAATTGACGGCACTCAGGCGTTGAGGGGGAGGCATCCATGGAAGAACTTGCGGCAAGGATCGTGGTCGGCTACAGTAGTGGCACGTAAGCGGTGTAAGGACACTTTTTGAGAAGTTGCCTTCAATCTGCTTGTCCAGTTTCAAAATAGACCGCGATGCGACATTACTCTGTGCGTAGTTTTTTCATCGGCATCTCTGTTCTCAACTGTGGGGCTTCCTAAGAAGGTTCGGCGTGCCTTTCGCATTTGCCGTCGAGCAACGTCTCACGGGCTTCTGAACCAGCCAGTAGACCGTGGCTTGGGAACTTTCACTGTATGAGAGATGTACTCCTTCATCCAATAATTTCAGGTTCTCTACGAGACAGTATTTAAAAGCCCACGGTTAAGATAAGTGAAACACAATAAACCATTTACTGTCAGGTTTATTCGGTATCAACAATAAATATCAAATGATCAGTAGTAGTCAATTCGGGGCTCTAGACACAATCCCTCAATGCAGTGACAGTGCTTTTCAGCACACTCGATGCAGTCTTCAGCAGAAGTGCATGCTGAAATAAAAGAGAGTTGAATATTCTTTAGTAGAAATGAGGGATTCGACCTTGAGTGACAAACATGCATCTAACCTTGGGCACAGATGTTGGCTACAACCTCAAACGCATGATATCTGTGGAATTTGACACTAGAGTATATGCCATTGAAGCAAGTGGTGCTCAAAGTCTACTCCTATTTACGATGAAGTCATGTATGAGGTAACAAGAAGAGATGCTAAAAGAAAATAGTATGGTTATTTTCAAGTTTATTAAGCATTCATAGAAATAACCAATGATCAATACCTACTACTAAATTTGAGGCTCTAAGCACAACCCGTGCATGCAGCGACAGTAGAGTTCCTTATTTGTACAGTCGGTGCAGTCGGAAACAGTTATGCAAGTTGAAATGTAGAAGGGGAACAGATTTCGTAATCAAAAATATTGGGTTTTTTAGGTTCTACGTAGGATTCGACCTTAAGCACCATATTTAACCTTGAGCGCAGACATTTGACCCTACTCGCGCCTGATATTGTACACATTGTGCTGAACATTGAATTCAGCCAGTGGCACATCCAGGGCGGTGTCCAGGGGGCCCGAACCCCCAAAATAGCCGAGTTAAAAAGATTGGAACGTGTTTTTTAATTTGCAGATGACCCCCCCCGTGCTCTTCAATTTTCAATCGCCGATACCCTCCAAGATAGGCATCTCCTGGTCATGAATCCAGTGACGTGGTGAAAGACGTGACCCACATTTTGACAGAGAGCTTCACGTTCACCACACCGTAGGAGCTATGGTATGGGGTGCTATTGCTTATGGTAGCAGACCATCACTAATCATCAGAGGCAATATGACAGCCCGACGCTATATTCAGGAAGTAGCGGAGCCTCATCATGTTCCATACCTAAACACCATCCAAAATAAGACAGTGCCAGACCGCATGTTGCCAGAGCAACGTTAGCATTCATGGATCAACATCGCATCAACCGTTTACCTTGGCCACCACGTCCGCCTGACCTATCTTCAATTGAAGATGTCTGGGACATGATAGGTCGCAGGCTCTTGAATTTGCAAAGTTGCAGTAGCCTGGAATAAGATACGCCAACCGGACATCGACCACCTTATCAGCACGATGCCCAGGCGTGTCAATGACTGTATAAGAAATCCTCAACACATTATTGAACCAGCTTCTGCAGTCAGTTGAAGAATAAAACTGAACATTTAGTTATCTTACTAGTAAGGATACTGAACATATATGCCAAAAATTATTAAAATTGGATAAACATACGCAGGTGTTTACCTTTTTTTGACATTCAGTAAATTTGATTTAATATAAGAATTTAGTGAGTTTCATTGGACTGAGGAAAAAACCGTTTAGCTTCATGGTATTTTGATTCTTCTATATATTTGTTTCTTCGTTAGTCCTGGGTACTTCTTGGATTTTGAAGCAAAATAATATAAAGTGGCATCGTCACAGTCCTACTTACTTTGCGGCTCTTCATCTTGACAGTAGGTCCAGGTGATAGTCATGATCAGAATCAAAATAAAAATATGGAGGAACTTCATTTTCTTGTTGTGATATCGACTAACAAAAAAATCGTAATACAGCTGCTAAGGTCACATTTATCGCTAATTGAAGCATGTATGTATTTTTGATGAATACGTAATTATTCATGATAATAGATCATTGTTTTATGATTTATTTTGTTGTTTGGTTTTATTGTAGAAAGCGAATGGATCTGAATATTTGATGGACGTCGACTGCATGACGACAGGTGTAACAAAGGTAATTCGAAGGTTTGCAAAAATAAGCCTTAAAATTAGTAATGCAATGGAATTTTAGGAGAGGCTTTGTAGGAAAATCGTAAAAAACAGGGAAAGTAATGCTACAAAGGTATCGCCGGAGACTTAACTAAAATCAGTACTTTTACTTTTCCCTTTACTGACGAGGAAGTGTAATAGCAAAAAATTTCGAAAATGAGATATCATGTTTTTTTGCAGATTATAATATTACGAGATCACGAAAAACCAAATCACTCATCTCCATCACTACTCGATCTCTTTGTCTATCTGTCATCTAATCTTTGGCATGTCTATAACTTTGAAACTACCGCTAGAATTTTGATGAAATTTTCACGCAGGGTTACTACTATGCCAAGGACGAAAAAGCTGGGTTTTACAAAATGGCTCCAATGGCGGCGGAACTAGGAGCCAAAAACGAAAATAAAAAACTACAAAAACCACACATACTTCATTTTTCTGACATTTCACAAGTCCTGAGCATTATATATTAGAGAACATCTTGTAGGGGCAAAACATTAGGGGTGGTTGAGTGTTTTAGGTAGTGGGCGAGGGTATATCTCATTTTTTTTGCGTTATTCCAATTCCAACAACTCTTCACTCCTATTAGACGTATTTCACGCATCATAGATTTCCCGGCACATTTTTCATTAAAACTTAGAATGATTCAGAAATATTTTCAACAGACGCCTGTCTGGATTTACTTAAGTCGAGGTCTGATCGCTAGGTGGCTGCCGTGGCTGGCGAGTGGCAAGGCTAGTCATAGTAACGTTTTTAGATGATTGGTACTGGCGGTAGGGCAGGTGAAACATTTCTAGATCCAACATTGTCAAACGGGTGGGGACTATAGGCTAACTATAGCTGATCAATTCAGTGTTGTTCGTAGCTAACTTTTATCTTAGAATGGCTGAATATGCCGGACATAACTCTTTATGAACTGATGACAGTGTTGCATAGCAAGTGTAGAGACAACCTGTTGTTTTTACCCTAAGATGGTCATGACTTTTTAGATGGTCCTACTAATTTTATTAGATGTTTTCCATTGTGGGTTTTGGGCTCTATTTATGAGTGTTTCTTTCGAATTGAGTTTTTATTTCTACATCTGTGTACTAGAAAATTCAACCAATTTCCACAAAACGGATCAACGAGAAGTCAATATTTCAAACAGAAGTTTGATTTCAGGAATCATAATCGGGTCAATGTTTATACAAATTGTATACTTCGATCTTAATTTATGAAATATAACTAAGACTAACTGACTCGTGTCCCCTTCGCTAAAGTTCATACATATTTACTTGTGTTGAATTCTTGGTTGCTTTAGGATTTACTTAATATTTATTCTATTTCTTATTGGCTGCTAGTGTGTACTGGGCTTGTATATTGATAGTTTAGCACTCATCTGTATAATGTGTTTGTACGGTAGTTTGAAAGCAAAATGTATTGGTTTTCTGAAGTTCCAGCTGGAGATAAGCTAACATATACCTGGCCATGGGAGAAACACTTCTTTCTCAATGAGATGCTCACCAGAGAGAATGTTTGAACGGGTACTTATTTATCGTGAAGGCGAATGAAACTTTGACTAGAGACTGCAGTCTTTTGAGCGCTATTGGGAAATCTGTCGAAATTATGGGTATCCGCGGAATATGAGCAAGTTGGCCTTGTGATGATGGCCGTCAGGATTATGTTATATTAGCCTACAACGTTTCTCTTTCCTCAGTAGCTATGTGTCACTACATAGGTTGGGAGGTCCCAAGTTTCTTAACAGCTTGAGATGGTATATCAGAAGTGCTCAAAAAAATAAAAAAATAGAAGCTAAAGCACTGTATCTTCAATATCACACCGTGTCAACAGACTTATACTGATCGACTTGACCTGGCATTGTCTGTAAAATCAGTTCATTTATTTCATTCACTGAATCGTATCTTGGAAAGGATATCACTTAAATGCCGATGAGTCAAAGTTTAGGACAACTGAAATAAAAAAGCAATAGGTGAGAGAATCAGGACAGACCAGAGACTGAACGATCGCGATTCTCTGCCCTCAGCTAATATTGTTATTTCACATTAAAATACTATTAATCACAATTAAATATAGCTCATGTCACTCAGAAATAATGTAACTATTTACCGGTGGAAGAATTTCCAAATTCGGTTCCAGAGATTACTTTCTACAAACAAACTCAAAAACTCTCACTCTTTGTAATCCCGATATCTGTTCCACATTTAGTTGTTTAATTATGAATGACAAATCTGTCCTTTTTCCGGGTGTTATGATCCGTGTCAAGATAGAGGGTGAAAACTTGGCGTGCGGAACTATGCTAATGCCTTACGGGGGTAATTATCCCTGTTTTCTCAAGTACCAATCCTTATTTACGCGGGTAATTGCGGGCTTGTTCATTCTAATTAATATTCCTTACCAGTTCCTTTACATATACACTTAATTGGTTCGAGTTGCGAGTCGTATTTTTAATTTTCTACCTTTCAAGTTCAAGGAGAGTACAAACATGGGAAAATTGGATATTCCTGGTTCTAATGTATATTGAGAAATGTCGTTTCCTTGTTTGTATTTTGATCGTATACTAATTCGTGGGATCATTTACGATACTAGTTAAAGCATATTCAGGGAGATATAGGGGGGAGTAAATAACCCAAGAGCGTGGTATTTTGTTTTTCGGGGAAATGTATTAGTCAACACTGCTCGAAATGTCGCTCTTTGTGCTAGTCTCTGAAGAAAAACTCTTGCCGTCGCCCCTCTAGTCTCAACTCTAAAGACGATATTTGTGATGAAGCGTTTAATGATATGAATAGCGCATGGACATATCATTTTTCCGGAAACCAACATCTGCTATTTATGATTATTACCATCAATAAAATTTGCATCATATTGTGTTCAGGCTTCACCATACCTCTGTATTTCTTTATAATTTACAACCAATAGCTTAGGACTGAAAAGTCGACTTGATGGTACAAAATTTAAATATAGCGTCCATATGAAAAAAACAAAATTGGTGATGGATGAACTGAACGCCAACTTATAGAGATGAATAAGTAACAATGTTAGCATGCAATTTATTTTGAAACCCCATCTCAAATGAGGTCGTGAAAAAATAAAAGTGATCTTGGGATAAATCTGGAATATGAAACAAATGACTGATAATTTCAAGGCGTACGGAGGAAATTCTGTGTAGTACAAGATGGGGACCGTATGAAAACAGTTTAAAAGACCTTATTCGGCAATAAAATGTCCTCATTGTTATTGCCCTTTCGACACTGGTTCGCAACTACCCTTATGGAAAATCGATCTCTAAGTGCTACTTGCCTCAAATAACGATCCTGTCGCTCTTTGGCGTCCAGAACCTCTAACTTGTCGATTTCGGTCTTCTTCAAACCACGCTTGACAACATCTCATTACAGTAGCTCCGCTTCGATTCACCTGATTAGAGATTTCTCTAAAAGAAAATCCGGCTTCACGTAACCCGCCCCTCTCAAACTCGGAAAGCTTAGCGCGTCTGCAAACTCTAGACATGATAATACAATGAAACAACAATGAAAAAAATGGAAAACATAAAAATCACTGAATAGTAAGTAAACATGTTCATATTGTTCGGATCCTGAAATGACAAAAAAAGTCTTTACAAAAATTCCATGATAGCAAATATGTTTACAAGTTTTCATCAAAATTTAATAAGCAATTCTGGGTGTTTTGCATGTCAATTAGTATATCATGCACATCATTCTAAATTATTTGACTCAGTATAGATTCAACTATCTCATTCGCTAAAATATAAATTCCAGATCTAATATCTAATTTAGTATCTAAGAATAGCCTTTTACTGTGGGATCCATCGATAAACAAACTTAGAATGCCGGATAACTCTTGTGATTGCTTGGATAGATACACCTGCATAAATATTTCCCAACTTGAAACGGTCACACTGAATGAAATATTATGCTTGGTAAACTGCAAAGGGTTGATCAATATTCTATGAGTTTTATAGACGTTCCTTGAGGCTTAAATACCTGTTGAGAAGTGATATCTCCTCGGATTAACAAACAATAACGCTCCCTTGAGGAACCTTGAATGGATGGTTTTACACTTGTATTTCACAGTAGGCTGTGGATGTCAGATTTCGCTTTGTTTGCTGTATATTTTTAACATTTGAAAACATTTGGGACAGTTTGATTTTCTTTTGCTAAATATTACTAAATAATGCAAACTACCGAACTTCTGTGCTGTTTGTGGATCACGGATGTCAACGGCTTGGCGTACTCAGAAACGCTATTTGGGCAGGTAGTCAGTTTCAGAGTCGTCAAATGTTTGTGGCAGCTATACTGTAGACGGTTTGAGTACAAGTTTGAGATGTCTAAGTTAGTTTGATTCAACGTTATTCTGATGATAATTTTTGTTATTCGCTGGTTCTTTATTAGTCTTTTAATGCATATAGTCTCAAGTTAGCAAGAAACCTTATTTGATTCTATATACCTTATTGAAGGAACGAACGGGGAATGCGAACCCATGAGGGATAACGCAACTAAAAGATGTACCAAAATTCCGAGGAAATTGAAGTACCACGTATTTTTAGACTCAAAATAATCAAATTGGACACGACTTACCTCTGAGCCAAAGTGCTTTGTTTATCCGTTAGACGGCGTAGAAACTTCAGTTTTTGAAACATGGTTTTTAATATATTTTATGAACCGATAGTCAGATTTAAATAAAATTTGGAGAACATGTTTTGATAGACGTTCTAATATTTAACTTTCACGAAAAACTCTGAAGGATTCCATGAGGATGAAAACTATCCCTACTTCTAAAAAAAAATTAAGCAGATCTTCCTATTACTTCATTTTTTGTCTCCTACAA